GTGTGTGTGTGTGTGTGTGTGTGTGTGTGTGTGTGTGTGTGTGTGTGTGTGTGTGTGTGTGTTTTGGATAGCAGGTGGCCTCTTTGTGGTCTGCTGCCTTTTACAATACTGATATAATTAGGGCTTAACATTTTATAATCTCCAGCCGGCAGCTGTGCACACACACCCATCTTCACCCATGCACAAATACACGTGTGTTCGTGCATCCATGCATGTCCAAGAGTGCTGACTCACGCTGTCCATCTCTGTGAGCACACACAGTTGCCAGGAGAGCCTTGTATTTATATATGTAAACAAAAAGAAACTAAAGGCATGCCTCACTGTTGTAAATCATCTGTGCAGTTCTTGTTTTTCGTACGGCTGTGAAGTCATGCTGTGTGGGTGCTTCTCAGTGTCCCAGACGATGGTTCGGTTTCAGAGGACCGCAGTGCCCCCCCCTCGCCCGAGGACAGGGACAGCGGCCTGTTCCTGCTGAAGAAGGACAGCGAGAGGCGGGCAATTCTGTACAAGGTCCTGAACGATGACCAGGACAAAGTCATCTCCAACCTGAGGGAAAACCACATGCAGGTGTGTGTGTGTGTGTCTGTGCTCCTGCATCGCCCATGCTCTTTGGCCTGGTGTTTTCATCCATCATCAGTTTTCTTCACCTGGTTTTACTTCACGTTTAGTGTGTCGAAGGGGAGCTGGTGCATATCCTCAGCAGTCACTGTGCTGGAGGTGGGGCTACGTTTTGGACAGGTCACAAGCCCATCATAGAGCCTGTAGAGACACATGAGACAACCGTCTCACCTAGAGACAATTTACCAATGAGCCTAACATGTTTTCAAGTCTGGGTGAAAACTTGAGTTTCTGTAGAAAACACACACATAAGCATATATATTTTTAAAAATAATGTCACATGTATTTTTTAAAATAAGGTCACATATAGTATATTTTTTTATTTAAGCTACTTATTAAGTAACAATCAGACTTATTTCTTGTTTGTTTTAACGTTTTGCTTAAACCTGAAAAAACATCAACTGAAAAAAATTATAAAAAAAAGGTTATAATTCTGATTTTATTTTACATCATTGAGTCCTTTTACAACTTGCTCCCTGGTGACATGTATTATCAAAAAAAGGTACTCAGCAGTACAACAGATTTAACTCAGTTACATCTAACAAAATTGTCAAAATTTAAGCAGATGGTGCTACTTTTACTCCATTAATTTCAAACTTTTAATAAATTCATTAAAAATAAACTATCTCAGTAAGCATAATACATAATAAAACTCTTCCTGACTACTAAAGGTATTAAAAGAAAAGGAACCTGTATTTTCTTCATAAGACCACTAGAGAGGGCAAACACTCTTTCAAAGTTCTAATATGCTGTCCTGTCTGAAATCTAAGACTTGTCCAACCATACACATAATCCAAAGGCTTTAAAAGGAGGAAGTGATGCTTCCAGTTTAAGTCCTGTAAGTTCTTTATTTTAATGCATTTATCAATAAAGATGTTTGTGTGTGAACAGGGCAGTGAGGAGCTCCAGCTCTCTATTGAACACATCAAGCAGATCATCTGCATCCTGCGGGACTTCATTCATTCTCCGGAGAGGCGCGTCATGGCCGCCACCATCTCCAAGCTCAAACTGGACCTCGACTTCGACTCCAACTCCATCAACCAGATCCAGCTGGTGCTGTTTGGCTTCCAAGACTCGGTCAGTACACACATACACACACACACGTGCACACACACGCACGCATGCACGCACGCACGCACGCACACACACTGAAAGCCACATAAGCAGGATAACTTCATGCGATCAACAGTAAATATTAATGTGAAAGCCATCTTCTAATTGAAAAAGACTGCATCAAATAAAAAAGTTTTTTTTTTAATTTTTTTAAGAATTAAAAAAGAAAAGGTTGTTTAAATGAGAAATGATCCACATACAATATTTCAATAGTAGCTTTAAATTAGCTTTCTGTGATTACTTAATTATTAGCTTTTACTAGAACATAAAACTTTCTTTGTAAATCTGTTACATTTCATTCAGTTTATTTCTTAGTCTACAAACAGTAAGCAATAAAAACAAAAGCCTAACTCTAAATATGCATAATCACATGACACGAAAGCTTTGTAGGTTCTTTGTGTTTCCTCTTGTTTCTTCTGACAAAAGATAAAAAAAATAAATAAATTTTTCACAGGATGTTTTTTTTGAACTCAGCTCGAAAAAATATCCTGTAAATAATAGATTTTTTAAACGACCTTAGAAGACAATATTTTTGGTCTTGTTGGCTGCAAACAGTCCCATTAATGCTCCATTTTTATAGTAAAAGTAGAAATGCCAAAGCAGTATAAAGAAATTCACTTTAAAAAATAAATATCTAAAACTATTGGTTCAAGGAAATTTGAATCAGATGTTTTTATCATCTGCATTTTTTGTCATTTTTCAGGTGAACAAGGTGCTGAGGAATCACCATATTAAACCCCACTGGATGTTTGCCATGGATAACATCATCCGACGAGCTGTGCAGGCTGCCATCACCATCCTCATCCCAGGTGAACTGCCGCTGTTAATGAAGCATGAGATACAAAAAAACTCACAGCTTCATCCCATTTTTGAACATTTACTGTATACAAACATATAGTCAAGAATATATCAGTTTCGTATTTTATTATGGCATTAGAATAAAACTGGATGCAAGGCATTTAGAGCATACAGACATTTACAGTCATGGGTTTCAACTCCAGAGCTTCAAACCCACTTTGGGCCAGCGTCAGAGTGTGAGGGGGCAGAGAAAGACGACGAGGTAGATGAAGAGGAAGCAGAGTTTGGCCCAGTCTTAGCTTCGAACTCTGATGAGCCGGGGACAACGGCTGAATCCGCCCTTCCCGCCACCAGCACAATAAACTCCACCCACTCCCAGGAGAGTCAACGGCCACATAACCCCCTGGGGGTGCAGCTGGGCCGGCTCAAACTGGAGACTAACAGGTAAGAAGTGGACACAATCTTCTGCAGAATCACTAAACGAAACTGATAGACATCAAAAACACAGAAAAACAAGCCCACATTATCCCCCCCAAAAAAATAAAAACAAAAATTAATAATCCGTGCATGGGATGTTGACATTTTTGGTAGAATTTTGAAATCTCCAACAAAATTGGGTACCTGCCAAAATGAGTGCAGAAAGCATGAATCCTCTACACTCTCGGGTATAAAAAGTTAACATTAGTGCACATAGAAATATAAACATGTCAATCAAAGAAAAACACCAAAGTAAACAAAAGAGTTGTACATGTGCTGTACATTGAAGCACTGCTGCAAATAATATTAAGCAATTAATCATAAAATCTAGCTTGAAATAGGTTTCTACTGGATTATATATTTAATGATTATACTGTCTRATTTTAACAGTACTCCCTGCCAACATATGAAAACTGGCCTAAAAAAAGGTAAATAAAAAAGATGCAGCAACAAACAAAATTTGCACAATGTTTTGTTTTCACATTGATGATTAATATATACTAAAATGAAATATTTTTGAGCCCAACTTGTGACTGGATGCCAGCTWCAAGTGTTTGTTTACTTAGAATCAATGAAACGTTTTTATCCCTCACATCGCATGTGGTACATGAGGTGGAACAAAACGTTGCCAAAGTCCTGGTTAAGCACAAGAACAACACATGTTTTTGTAAAATAAGAAGCAATAATAACTGATGGTCAAAAAAACTAAATTGAAAACAATAAAACAAATTGGAATTAATAAAATCTACAAGTTCGCAATTTTGTGCAAAAGTAAAAATATTCATGTTTGGGTTTACAGCCCAGCCTGCAGACATTTCATTTCACATGTGACGTCAAAGTGAAGCTTGTTGTTTATTTTACCTTTTTTTATGCAACATGATGTTGTTATTTTAAATATTTCCTGATGGGATGAACAGGTAGTAACACATACTTGAACACAGTTAAACCGACACCTTTTCGGGAGTTTCCTGACATTTTTAAGTGTTTCTGCTTGACTGACACTTGTGCATTTCAAAGCATTGCTGTGGTTAAAAACAAACAAACAAAAAAACAAACAAACAAAAAACAAAACCACACACTGTGACAGTTTTCTCATGAAAATTATTTCCTTTTCAGTGTGGCAGGAAAACAAATGTAGGAGTTTTTTTGTGGTGCACTCTTCTACAACCTAATTTGCTGGTGACCTAATTTACGAGCACTTTTAATTTTAGCTCAAGGCTCGCCAACTGTTGAACATTTTGTTTTGACTAAGTTACTTATATATTCAGTCTAATTGTTAACATTTCAGTATGCATGCATCCAAAAGTTGCTTCCAGTTTATATA